AGGAGATCGGGCTGAAACTATAGCTACAAGCTATCCAAGGATGGTACTATAGAATGTCACCTCAAGGTAGGCCTAGTGGCGTCATCTCTTGGTTAGGCCGGAAACTTATCAATCCACCCTCGTACATATTTCTTTATCGACAATCTTACAGATTATGTCACACCAACACAAATGCATAATGAAGTGAACGTGTGGAGTATGATCCTTTTAACCACATCCGTCTGAAAATATCAGCTGCTCAAAATCTTTTGAACACGGCGTAACACCCTTAAAAGCTTTAAATTGAATTTATTACTTTAACATTTTATACGAAAGTATGTTTGAAGGCGTTTGTACAAATTTCCCACGTCATATAGTATTTTTCAAAAGGTAATGCCTCCCTTTGATAGCTTCATATAATAAAATGTCCCTATGTTCGGTTCTCAATATGCCTATTCTGTGCAGTCCCACCGAATTATATTATAAGATTATAATTTGAAACATACATACACTTTTCATTGTATACGAAACAATACAGAGTAGGTACTTCATGGTATGCAGCCAACTTTACAAAACTGTTTTAACAAAACAACAAAAGTGTATTTTGAAACAAAAAATTGCTTATGTATAGGTAACTGTTATTTCGTACTAAACTACTGCATATTACAAAACCTTTATTCTATTCATAAAGTTTATGGCGCACTTAAGCTACTTGGCAAAACTTCAATGCAATGGTATTTAACTGCATTTTCGTGCTATGTTAGGTGCCAAGTAATTCAAAATTGTACACAGAACATGTCAAAATTCTTTATACCATTATTTTCAAAAATGCATTCAAAATGAGGGGAAACCTTCTATAGATTACTAGAGGTGTGCAAAATAGTTTTTAAAAGTATTTAAATACAAAATGCAAATGATTTTTTGATTTGTTATTTAAAATGTTAAACACAAAATAGATTTCTCTTTTATATATTTTAAGTGCTAAATGCAACATACGTATTTTCAAAACACTTCTTTCAAATAGATGCTTTCCTGTTTAGTTTAATTTTCTACATTCACTTAACTATAAAATAATTTTTAAGAAAACCTTGCAGGCATTTGCTCATTTTTTAAATATTGCAGTTTTCTAGACTAACAGTGGTGTTTGCATTACATCACTAGCTGCGAAGATTGAGTATGATTCATATTTTTCTGTTTGAAGTGATTGAGATATAGTTTTTCTATCTTTATGTTATAGTTTCTTCAGTTCAGCAACAAATAATTCTTCTATATGCTTTCTTATTTGCCTTTGCCATCCGTTTTAATTGGAAAAAAGACACTGATGACAAAATAGTTTGCTTAGCGTGAAAAATCAGAGCCAAAATTGCAAATAATTTTATTGATGTAAAATCAACATCAATCATTTTATATCAAAATATTTACAACCCGATTTTGTTTCATAGAATTTCGTAGTTCTTTGCTAAACATACGATAAGTGGTGATTTGGCAGGTGCTCATATCAATTTGGAACTTGACATTAAACCCGGAAAACAATATCGATCCAATATTTTAGATTATTTATTTCCAAGGAATTTATAATTTTTTGGTCTCTCTTCAGTTAAAGAATTAGAAGGCATTCATGGAATGCCTATTTGTCCCCTTTTTAAGCTTCTTATACCTTCAATGGCCAATGTGAGCAACTTTTATTCATCATTTGATATAATGTTTGATCGGTGATACTAGCAAAACTTTTAACGG